GCCCTAATCCCGCAAAGCCCAAACCCCAAACCCGCAGACCCTAAACTTCCCAAACCCTAAACCCTAAACCTTAAACCCCAAGCCCTAAACCCCAAGCCCTAAACCCTAAACCCTAAACCCTAAACCCCTAAACCCCTAAACCCTAAACCCTAAACCCCAAAAGCACACCAAGGTCGCCCCTTCGTCCAGTCTCGCGACGACGCGGCCGCGGACCGCGGCGGAAGTCTTCGAGGCCCTGGCACCTCCAACAGGGTTGGGGCTGAGGGCCTAAACCCTAAACCCTAAACCCTAAACCCTAAACCCTAAACCCTAAACCCTAAACCCTAAACCCTAAACCCTAAACTCGCCATAGCCCATCAGCTTCACCCTGGTCCTCAGGCAGGGGATCTCGAGAAGCTCCAGCTTGGGGAGCCGGGCGAGTCCAAGGTTTACAGGCCGCCTCATTAGTTTGGGCTTTAGGGTTTAGGGTTTAGGGTTTAGGGTTTAGGGTTTAGGGTTTAGGGTTTAGGGTTTAGGGTGTGGGGTTTCGGGTTTCGGGTTTGGGGTTAGTAAGGGTTTAGGGTTTAGGGGGTTTTGGAACTTAGGGTTTAGGCGGTTTTGGGATTCAGGGTGCAGGGTTTCGGGTCTTGGGTTTAGGGTTTTTGGAGGTTTTGGGGTTTGGGTTCCGGGCGCTTTGGGGCTTAGGGTTTGAGGTTTGGGGGGGTTTTGCGGTTTGGGGTTTCGGGTCGGAGGTGCACATGACAACGGGGGCTTAGGGACGTACAGGGACGGTTTGGGGGCTCGGGCGGGTGTAGGCTTGGGGCTTTCGCAGGTTTAGCGTTTGGGGTTGGGGGTCAGGGTTCACCTAGACTAGTTTCTCTTTTTGAGCCACGTTTACTGAAGGCATAACTACAATTCGGGTTTAGGGTTCCTTAGGGCTGTTTTTCCCCACCCGACAAGTGCGGTAGTTAGATTTTGAGAACGAAGTGGCACGCATCAATTGACGCGATGCAGTCAGGACAGTACAATCACAGCAGGTAGGACAGGGAGGCTCAGGCGGGCAACTGTACCGAAATGTCGCCACAAGACGCAGGCCAGGTTCAGGCGGGCAACTGTACCGAAACGTCGCCACATTAAGCAGGCCAGGGAGGCTCAGGCGGGCAACTGAGCAGGCTGGGGAGGCTGAGGTGGGCAACGGTACCGAAATGTCGCCTTACTAAGCAAGCCAGGGAGGCTCGGGCAACTGTACCGAAATGATGCCATACTAAGCAGGCCGAACTGTTCTGAATGAGATGAGACAGCCGCGCGGATCAGGACGGATGAGATGAGCTGTGCCATCCAGATGCTCAGTTCTGGAGCGTCCGATCTGGCTGAGTTGCAGCAGACCCAGGGCGGTGGCCAGAGCCAGGGCAGCGAGCGAACGGCAGTCCCGAAAAAAATGAAGGAAGTCCCGCTGGAGGTTGTCAAGCTGTCGCCTCATAGATCCCAGTGAAGATGAGAGTGCTACAATACGAAGAGTGCGGGAATCGTGACCTGATCATACCGGGGGTTGGATCTAGATCAGGGTCTCCGTGTCGTCATGCACGCCCTCAAGGTTTCCTCGCGCCCAAGAGGCCCCCCCAAGCTTGTGGAGTTGACGTTTGAAGGACAGGGTGGGGATTTGATATTTTTTTCCATGGGGCACTCTTAAATTCTTTCTCTTCCCTAAACCCTGAACCCTGAACTCTGAACCCTGAACCCTGAACCCTGAACCCTGAACCCTAAACCCTAAACCCTAAACCCTACACTCCAGACGCCAAACCCTGCACTCCGAGTCTCTGCACCGAAAGGCGCAGCCCGAAAACCTCAACCTGAACCCTAAACCCTAAACCCTAAACCCTAAACCCCAAACCCCAAACCCTAAACCCTAAACCCTAAACCCTAAACCCTAAACCCTAAACCCCAAACCCTAAACCCCAAACCCCAAAACCTTAAACCCTAAACCCCAAAGCCTAAACCCTAAACCCCTGGAGGCTCGGCAGAGCCGACGCCAGAGTTGTAAGCGCAGCCGCAGAGGAAGCGGCTGCTTCTGAGACTTCGGGTTGAGGGTTTCGAGTTTGGAGGTTTGGGGGTTTAGGGTTTCGGGTTTGGGGTTTTGGGGGTTTAGGGTTTCGGGTTTAGGGTTTAGGGTTTCGTTTTTTTTTTTTTTGTTTCGGGTTTCGGGTTTCATGTTTGGGGATCTAGGGTTTCGGGTTTGGGGTTTGGGGGTTTAGGGGTTTAGGGTTGAGGGGTTCAGGGTTTAGGGGATTCAGGGTGGATTTCGGGCCTAGGGTCTCGGGTTTGGGCGGTTCTAGTTTAGGGTTTAGGGTTTCCCGGTTTGGGGGCTTAGGGATTCAGGGTATAGGTTTAGGGTTCATACGGTTTCGGGTTTAGGGGGTTAAAGGGGTTCGGGTTTAGGGTTTGTGTTTTTGGGGGTTTTGGGGTTGAAGGTTCGGGTTTGGGGTTTAGGGTTTGGGGTCACGAGGTTGAAGGTTTGCCGCGTAGGGTCTAGGGTTTAGGGTTTAGGGTTTAGGGTTCAGGGTTTAGGGTTTAGGGTTTAGGGCTTCGGGCTTAGGGATAATTCTTGTGGGGGTTCAGGGCTTAGGGTTTGGGTTTTGTTTTTGGCATGCGGAGGCTTTCTCAAAAACCCGAAGCCTTTAGGGGTTAGGGTTTAGGGTTTAGGGTTTAGGGTTTAGGGTTTAGGGTTTAGGGTTTAGGGTACTGCGTCCTGCAAACTAGAGAACTGAAGCCCAGAATTTGGCTTTCAAGGCCTCTGAGTGGTTAAAGCCTAGACTCTAACCACCCTTGGCCTAAACTTAAATGGGGGTTTCCGAAAATAGGGTACCCTTTGGGGGGTTGAGGGCTTAGGCTTTAGGGTTTGGGTTCCTCTCAGAAGGATCATTTTGGGAGTGTTTTTGGCGTTATTTTCGGAAATATCCATACACGGGTAGGGTCTCTGTTACCGTTGTTGGTGCGTGTATATGGGCAACAGAAACCCGAAAACCCTAAACCCTACCTCAGCCCTGTCTCAAACCTAAGCCCCAAACTTCAAGCTTCAAACGTGCCTCAGCGTTCACGACCCATCTCCCAAGCAGAAAATGACACCTAACTTGAAGGTTCGGTATACGGACCAGGGTTTTCGGGGCGCTAGTTGGTTATAGGTAGAGCAAAAATTGGGGTCATGAGTCCCTAAACCCTAAGCCCTAAACCCAAAACCCTAAACCCTAAACCCTAAACACCAAACCCTAAACCCGAAACCCTAAACCCTACACCCTCAACCCTACTTAGGGTCATAAGGTACCCATGAACCCCCAAGTATGGGACCATGGAGGAGCTGGGCCTCTGCGTCAAGCAGGAGGGCAATCGTAGAGACCTAGTCGCGATGCGCTCAGGTGCTGTGGTGTCGGAAGGGAAAGCGTTGGGGTTTAGGGTTTAGGGTTTAGGGTTTAGGGTTTAGGGTTTAGGGTTTAGGGTTTAGGGTTTAGGGTTTAGGGTTTAGGGTTAGGGTTTAGGGGGTAGTGTTTTTTGGCTGAAGGGGAGGAGCCTCATGGGTAAACTGAACCCTAAACCGATAAGTAGGGCTCGAAGTGTCTACTGAGAGGCCACGTTCACGCGGCTGTGGTTTCCGTAGTCTTCGTAGCACTAACTTTGCGGCTGCCATGCAGCAGTGTTTTGCCCTAAACCCTAAACCCTAAGCCCTGAACCCTAAACCCTAAACCCTAAACCCTAAATCCCAAACCCTAAACCCTAAACCCCAAACCCTAAACCCTAAACCCTAAACCCTAAACCCCCAACCGACACCCCAAACCAAAAACCCGAAGCGCCAAGGTCTTCAAGTCTGGGGACGAGCTCCTCTTCGGCACGGTGAGCGGGCCTCAGCTCATCCAGCCTGATCTCTTCCAAACGGAGCTCGGGGGTTTGGGGTTTAGGGTTGAGGGTTTCGGGTTTAGGCCGTCGGGTTTAGGGGTTTGGGGCTTTTGGGAAACCCATCTACCCGACAACTCCGAACTCCTGAGCCCCCACATCTGCTGGGGTTTCGGGCTTGTCCCTAACCCGAAACCCCAAACCCGAAACCCGAAACCAAACCCTAAACCCTAAACCCTAAACCCTAAACCCTAAACCCTAAACCCTAAACCCTAAACCCTAAACCCTAAACCCTAAACCCTAAACCCTAAACCCTGAACCCTGAACCCTGAACCCTGAACCCTAAACCTTCCGAGGCCCTACTCCTTCGAGGAGTTAGGCCTCGACCAGGCCATCGTGTTGACGCCTCAGCCTGGGTGATGCCGATTCCTGTGCCTTTAGTTGAGCGGGTTTAGGGTTTAGGGTTTGGGGTTTAGGGTTTAGGGTTTAGGGTTTAGGCATGGAAGAACCCAGAACCCTGAACCCTGAACCCCAAACCCAGGCTTTAGGGTTTAGGGTTGAGTTGAGGTTGAAGTTGGGACCTTCTCCTGTACTCTACTAGACTCGACTATGTATGAGACTTGCGCGATCAGTCTGCCACCCTCACTATTTCCAACCTTGCACATCATGAAGTGGAGGTCGTGACATCCATAAAGCGTTATCCGCAGTCCCGTCTGCACTAAAACATGTACCACTACAGAGTCTTTTTCGTCTATCTTAGTAAGGGGTTTGTGTATTCTTAAATGTGTATGTATATATATATATATATGTATTACAAAAAAGAAAACAATATGCCGGTCGGAGGACCTTACAGGAAGTCAGGACGCAGTCTTCACGGGCTTGAGTGCTTGGCAAGTTTGAACTGGGGTTCCTTGTGCATTCAAACTAAGAGTCGCAGTGCCCGAAAGAAGATGTCAATGTAGTGGGTGCTGTTTTTGGGAGGATCATCGTGTATTTTGGGAGGATCATCGTGTATTTCGGGATATATTAGGAAAATGTCTATTTTGAGGAATGTATGCATGCTTGCTGCCCACGCTCTCGATTTGGTGTATGCTTGGGGGCACCGAAAACCCTGGAGAGGAAGCCTCGCGCAAAGTGCCATGGCCTGCCTTTACGATGCCCTGGAAGTTTCGGCCTCCGCCACAGAGGCCGAAATACGCACCGCATATCGCCGGCGCGCTTTGGCAACGCATCCGGACAAAGGCGGCCGCACCGAAGACTTCCTCCGGGTGGTCACGGCCTTTGAGACGCTGTGCGATGCAGACCGCCGGAGCGCTTACGACGAGAAGGTTGCGAAGCAGGGAAGAGGGTCCAAACCCAAAGAGCCCAAAGAGCCCAAGGACTGCAAGACAAAGAGTTGCAGGAAAAGAAAGGGGATGTCAGGGATGTCGCCGAGCCACTCGGCGGCACTTCACAACACGTTTCTTGGGCGGCAGGATGCCCTGGCACCCTTTCTAAGATTCTAAGACACTTTGCCCCCCTGGCAACCAAGGGCATACTGCCAGCTCCACCGCATCTTCCGCCCACCCCTCTGGCTGCAACCCGGCGTCGCGCGGGGCTGTGGAAGAGCTACTGCTCCTTGCGTGCCGAGACTTGCTGCAGCGGCTGCAGGGTTTCAGCGACGGCGAGCTGCGGGATCTCTACGACGTGAGCGAGACACTCCTTCAGCCAGCAGGCTCCGAAATTCCTGGGGGCTCCGAGGGCGAAGCTGCGAGCAGCGACAGCGAAGACTCTGAAGACGGCGATGCCCTCCTCGCGCTCGAGGATGCGGGCAGCGCGGAAGACGATGCGGGAGGCGATGCCACCCAGGGAGCCGCGACGAGAGAAAGCCGAGAAAGCCGACCGCAGGCTCCCATAATGATAGGCATAAGCCGGAAGACGTGGAAGCAGAACGCCTATGTAGGCTACAGCGCCAGAGTGCACTTCTTGAACTTGTCGGTGTGTGCGCAAGCCGTGAAAAGTTTGGACACCGCGATTGACATGCACATCAGCTTGGTTCGCTTGCGGCAGCTGGTGCGCGCGAAGATCGAGGAGGGCGTTCCGTGCAAGCAGGCTCTGCTGCAAGTGGTGGAGTTGATAAGAGAGGAGCCTGGGTCGTTGTTGACAATCATTTTCCATGTTTATGAATACTGAAACCCCAATAAGGAACAAAAAATGACCCTACACACGAAGCCCTGAACCCTGAACCCTATAAAAATCGCAAAGGAGAGGGCCGAAAGCAAGGGGACCGCCATACGGTACTCCTACACGCTCATCGTGAAGTCTGTTCGAACCAAAGCTGTACACGCGATTTCGGACATCTCGGATTCTGGGGTAGGTTTGAACATATTTTTTCTACTTCTTTCCCCTTAGTCCCTTATATAATCCTTTTAAAGCCATGAAAAGCTTAATTTTTATCGGGCCCCCAAACCCTACCCCAGGAGTTGTGGGCGGAAGTGGTGCAGAGGAGGACTCAGCAGCAGCGCAGGAAGCGCGAAATGGAGGAGTCCGGGGGAAAACCATTTGGGTTTAGGGTTTAGGGTTTCGGGTCTAGGGTGGAGGGTCAGGACTCAGAGTAGGCCTTGATTCCCTTTTTCAGGGTTTCGGCTCCCTTTTAAGCCCCTTTAATCCCAAGAGGGCACCCTTTTTATTCTTAGGTTACTCCTGGGTCTTGGGGGACTCCTTCACATGTACGAGAACTGGCAGGTTCTTATGTCATATGCTGGAATCCCTTTTTTTTTTTTTTTTCTCCATTTGCTTCGATTCGAATCTCTGGGCTAATTCCGAAGTCCAAGCCGAAAACCCACAACCCAAAACCCTAAACCCTAAACCCTAAACCCCCCCCAGGAGCGAAAGCAGGCTCGACGACAAGAGCTGATTCTCGGCATTGCCATGGTGCAACTTGTTTTTCTGCACAGGTCTATGGGGAGTCTACGGAGCGCTCTAAGTGAAGCATAAGCCCTAAGCCCTAAGCCCTAAGCCCTAAGCCCTAAGCCCTAAGCCCTAAACCCTAAGCCCTAAACCCTAAACCCTAAACCCTAAACCCTAAACCCTAAGCTCTACACCCCCAACCCCCCGCAAATTCGAGGATCGACAAGAAGAAGCAGGCCGAAGAGGCCAGGCGGCAGCGGAAGAGACAACGGGAGCAGCGGGCCCGAGATGGCAAGGAGGCCAAAGCTGGCTTTGCTGCGCTTCTGCTTGATTCTTATGTCTTATGTTGGGTTTTTTATGGGGTTCTATAGGGGTTTGTAGGGGTTTATAGGTTATTATTAGGGCTTATAGGGTTTCATAGGGTTTCATAGGGTTTCATAGGGTTTCATAGGGTTTTCACAGGGTTTTACAGGGTTCAGGGTTTAGGGTTTTGTAGGGTTTTTGGGCCTTTTATAGTTTTTTTTTTTTTTTTTCCACGGTGGGTTGTTCTAGGTTTTCTAGAGGGTTTAGGGTTGAGGTTTTCAGGTTGATACGGTTTAGGGGTTGTCGCCCTTGAGTGCTTAGGGGCTTTCAGCGCTCTAGGGCTTTAGGGCTTTAGGGCTTTCAGGGCTTTGGGGCCTTTGGGGTTTTAGGGTTCCGGGTTTTGGGGTGCAGGGTTTCGCAGTTTTCGGTTTAGTCTTCGGCTGAAACCCTAAACCGCAAGCCCAAAACCCCAAACCCTAGACGCTACGCCCTAAACCCCAAGCCCTAAACCCTACACCCCATAAGCCTTATAAACGCTAAAAGCCTTGCAGGGTTTATAAACCCTACAAACCCCAAGCCCTAAGCCCTAAACCCTACACCCTAAACCCTAAACGCTAAACCCTAAGCCCTAAACCCCAAACCCTAAATCCCAAGCCCCTTTGTGCAGGAGCTTGTTCGCCGCTTCCAGCGCCACGTGACCGCTGTATTGACCAAACGGGGGGTGGCCCTGCTCAAAAGCGCCTAGGCGGCCCTTATGGTAAGGTTTAGCGTTTAGCGTTTAGCGTTTAGGGTTTAGGGTTTAGGGTTTAGGGTTTAGGGTTTAGGGTTTAGGGTTTAGGGTTTAGGGTTTAGGGTTCGGGTTTAGGGTTTAGGGCGTCTTCAGGATGAGCAGCGGGTTTAGGACTGGCTTGCCCACGCCTGCCACCCGGAGTTCAAGATAACACAGATATGCTATTTCACACAACCAAAGAGCCATGGTAGGGTATATCATCTACACAGCAAAAAAGACAGTAGTGAGACATGATGTATAGAGGTTGCTGATCATCATCAGCATGATGATGATGATGATGATGATGGTCCAGTTTCAGGGTTTTTGCTGGCAATGTTGCTCTTTAGAAACACACGAAAACAGACCACTTCGAGTCTTTTCAGGTCCTTGCATGCGAAGACGAAGTGCAACTGGGGATGACGCTCTCTTGGGCATGACTTCATTGCAAGCACCTAGACGGGTACAGGGGTTCCCCCAACCGAAATCCAACCCTAGTGCTCTGGCGGCTCCCGCCATCACCACACGGCCCCCAAGGACGGGTTCAGGGTTCCCACCACAGGGGGTTACAGGCTTCCACCCAGCCGGGGGTTCAGTTTCAGGGTTCCCGCTGGCAATGTTGCTCTTTAGTAACACGCGAAAGCCCCCACCATCATCACCATGATCATTCCCCGGCTGGGTGAAACCTGTGGTGGGAACCCTGAACCCGTCCTTGTCGTGAAAACTCTGAGTCCTCGCGCGCCCTTGGGGGAACCATGTAGAGGAAAGCAGGTAGGCGCCAGAGCATTTCCGTGGGAGCCGCCAGAGCACTAGGGGTGGGAGCCGCCAGACGGAGCCGCCAGAGCACAAGGGGTGCGGGAGCCGCCAGAACACTTGGGTGGGGGGGCGAGCCGCCAGAGCATTTCGGTGGAGCTTGTCGGGTTTTTACCTTTACAAGGTATGGTATTGAACAGTGTGCGTACAGGCATCCACAATGAGCCGACTCTCACAGGGTTCGGGACGCGAGTGAGACAAGCGCTCGCTGGCGCTCGGCAAGCCTCGCCCGCCACAGATTGTGGGCGGCGTGGGCTTGGCTTAGACTTTCAGGTTTAGGGTTAAGTTGTTTAGGGTTAGGGTTTAGGGTTCTAAACTCCAAACCCCCAACCCCAAACCCCAAACCCCAAACCCAAAACACCCAAGACCCAAGGATGGGGGGTTTCTGCGATGCCTCCGGGCCTGGAAGCCACGAGCTTCCAAAGCCCTGGCGACAGCCTCTGCGCGAAGCTGATGCTGAAGGAAGGGGAGTGGGATGTTAGGGTTTGGGGTTTAGGGGTTTAGGGTTTAGGGCTTAGGGGTTTTCGAGCTTAGGGGTTGGGGCTTTAGGGTTTAGGGGTTTGGGGTTTAGGGTTTAGAGTTTAGGGTTTAGTTCAGGGGTTTGGGGTTTGGGGTTTAGGGTTGTGGGGTGTCAGGGTTCAGGGCTGAGGTTTCTGGCTTCGCAAGAGGTGGAGGAGGATGTGGTTCCAAATGGGGGCTCCTTAGATTCCTGCAGCTTGCGTCTGCTCTTACCAGTTTGGGTCGCATAATATGACATCCTGTCCTACTCCACAATACAGTTTGCAGTGCTGTGTTTAGCTTTTTTCGAGATCCAGCCTTCTAAGCCTTGACCTTAAAACACCCTGAAGTCCTATTAGCTCCTCAGTCGGAGCCACCAGTTTCGCCAAAACCCTAAACCCTACATGGGCGTTTACGATATTAGGGGGTACCTCTTTGGGGTCTTTTTATAAGGGAATCCGACTATGTGGGGTTTATATGAGGGGTCCCCTATTCTCGTAAACCCCTACATATTCAGGGTACCCCAAGAAGGCTCACCTGGAGATCCCCGCCTTGCAGCACAGAATATCTGCCTCTACGATCTCGTACGGCATAGAATTGCTATACGTTGCCATACTTTGCTACACTTTGCTATACTTTGCTATACTTTGCTATACTTTGGCTCTACTTTGCTATACTTTGGCTATACTTTGCCATATTTTTGCCATACTTTGCCATACTTTTGCTAAACGATGCAGGATGGCGCTGCTTGCTACGGTCCGTTTCGCTTCTGCGTGGCGGATGCCCAGAGCCTTGATCCGGAGGAGGTGTGCGGCAACCGCATTTGTTGGAAGATAGTAGTACACTATTGAAGGGTAATTATACGGTTTAGGGTTTTGGGTTTAGGGTTCAGGCGTAAGGGTTTAGGGTTTAGGGTTTAGGGTTTAGGCATAAGACGCTGAACCTTTCAGGGCCCTATACGTTGATGCACATGCTGCTCTAGCCAGTTAAAACTGGAACAAGACGGTCCCCGTAGCACAGCTTTGTTAAGCTTAACTGTTGGTAGTAGCCTTTTGAGTCTAATGCTGCAGTGGCGACTCCACATGCCCCTGCCATAGCCACTTTTGGCTATTTTGAGTTCAGAATCGATCCTAAACCTAAATCAACCCTAAACCCTAAACCCTCAAACCCTGGCAATGCCAAGGGATGACTTGAGAGTGGCGAAGGGCATCCAAGCGCGAGAGGGCGACGAGGCAGCGCGGAAGGAGCTGGAAAGGAGAGATGTGGAGGCGATGCTCACCCTCCTCGGCGCAAAACGTGCCTGTTGAGCCTTGCTTTTCGCAATCCCTAAGCCCTGAACCCTAAACCCTACGCCCCTAGACCCTAGCCTGAGGCCCTGAAGCCCTGAAGCCCTGAAGCCCTGAAACCCTGAAACCCTGAAACCCTGAAACCCTGAAACCCTGAAACCCTGAAACCCTGAAACCCTGAAACCCTGAAACCCGGAAACCCGGAAACCCTGAAACCCTGAAACCCTGAAACCCTGAAACCCTGAAACCCTAAACCCTGAACCCAGATCTCTCAGAGCTACTTATGCTTGAGACCAAGACTCTCAGCCGAGAATCCTATTCAAAGGGGATCTACCCACAACCATCATTTACCCCTGAAACCCTGAACCCTAAGCCCTAAACCCTAAACTCTAAGCCCGCAACCCTGCAGCATGTGTAAGGCCTGTATCCAGCACTCATCCTGAGACAGGAGCAAGCTCTTTGTCTTTTTCAAGGGAATTACTTGGAGGTGCATGCTACTGGTTTATCCAGTTGTATCTGTACTTAATTATAAATCATGTATAACCATGTTAGGGCACTGAAGGGGCTTACAAGTGGGTTATATGTACAGGTATACCTAGGTTATAAGTACCATGTAC